TCATCCAAGGGATTGAAGATGTGTGTGTGCACGTAAACACAGCCTCTAGATTGTCAACATGTGATTTTCTTACAGAGAGTGTCTTGCACAGCATGATATAGGCCTCTCGTGGTAAGCAGCCTGCTTTGAAGCAATCCATCATGCTTGACTCTGTAGATCTTGTAATTTTTCTTTACGCATGATACTTTTACCAACATCCCCAATTTATACATGCCACTGCAGACCTGTGCTATGCGCCTCCTGCTTTCTTAGCTGACTGGGTGAGGAAGACACTGTGTGATTTCCTAGCTTCATTGAAGGGGAGAAACACTTCACTACCCCTCATCTTCAGTATACAGCTACAAAGCTGCCTTGCTTGAGTTATATAAAAGTTTATAAAGAAACACAATGATTAAAGCTGGGGAGGATCCACTGCTCATTGAGATTATGGATGATTTTTATTTTTAAAATATTTCTGTATATTTTTCAGTATGTTTTCATTGCACATATGTTACTGTTTCCAAAATTATTTTAACCACACAAGTTTAAACACATGCACACACACACGCATAAAAAGAAATACACCAAAATGATAGTTATGGGAGTTAAAGTGGCTTTTATATTCTATTTTCATGTATTTTCCAATTACTATTTTTCTCAAAGAAACAAATTATATACATAAAATAACCTGTGAACTGCCAAAAAGAAACAGTTTTCTTTATGGAAGTTAATAAGCATTATGTAGCAGTCTTTAAAATTCTGACTCTTAGCATCTAGATTCCCGTTGTTTTCACAATCTACCCAGGACTTCTTGATACATGTTAAGATTTAATTTAAAATCTTTCAGCCTTCTTGACTTTTTAAGTATTTTCAACGTTTCTGACTATTCACTCTGCATCTTTGAGGCTTCTTAAAAGCAATCCTATTTTTCTTTCTCTCCAAAACACACACACACACACACCACACCCATACGCACAGACACACACACTCATACCTCGCAGTGGTGATCTCTGGCTAGCAGAAATACGACTTGTTGTGTTGATTTGTTTTGCTTTGCTTGTCTATATTTTCTAATTTTCTTCAATGTAACAACATTGTCTCTGTAATAATGAGCAGTTTGCCTGTTTGTTTAACAATAAACTAAACCAACATTTATGATTGCTTCCCAGGCAAATAAATAAAATACTGTTCTGTATTCTTTTTTCTTTTTTTGAGACAGAGTCTCTGTTGCTCAGGCTGGTTGGAGTGCAGTGGCATGATCTCTGCTCACCACAACCTCAGCCTCCCGGGTTTAAGTGATTCTCCTGCCTCAGCCTCCCGAGTAGCTGGGATTACAGGCATGCGCCACCATGCCAGGCTAATTTTTGTATTTTTAGTAGAGACGTGGTCAGGCTGGTCTTGAACTCCTGTCCTGTGATTTGCCCACCTTGGACTCCCAAAGTGCTGGAATTACAGTTGTGAGCCACTGCACCCAGCCTGTTTTATGTTTCATATGTCTTAATATGTATTATTTCATTTTAGTTCAGCTAAATATTTTCCAAATTTCATTGTGATTTCTTATTTGACCCATAATATATTTAGGAGTGTTTTTCATAATTTTCAACCAAGTGGAAATGTTTCTTTTTCATTACTTTTAATTACCATTTGACTTTTAATAATTGATTTCTGACATGATTTCATTGTTATCAGAGAACATTCCTCTGTAAAGTTTATTGAGACTTGCTTTTTCGTTCCAATGTATTGTGAATTTTTGTATATCACCTGTTTGCTTGAAAATAGTGTGTATTGCACAGTTGTTGGGGACAGGATCTACACATTATTTGGTTTAGGTTTGTTAATCACACTCAAATCTTCTACATTAACAATTTTTCTTTCAACTACTGAGTGAAGTGTTTTAAAATTTCCTCCTGTGGCCGGGCACGGTGGCTCCCACTTGTAATTCCAGCACTTTGGGAGGCCGAGGTGGGCGGATCACGAGGTCAGGAGATTGAGACCATCCTGGCCAACATGGTGAAACCCTGTCTCTACTAAAAATAATACAAAAAACGTAGCCGGGCATGGTGGCATGCACCTGTGGTCCCAGCTACTCGGGAGGCTGAGGCGGAAGAGTTGCTTGAATCCAGGAGGTGGAGGTTGCAGTGAGCCAAGATTGTGCCACTGCACTCCAGCCTGGCGACAGAGCAAGACTCTGTCTCAAAAAAAAAAAAAAAAAAAAAAAAACAATTTCCTCCTGTGATTCTGGGTGTATCTATTTCTTTTTCTAGGTGTCAATTTTTTTTTAATATATTGAGGTTATACTATTAGGTACATACAAATTTAAAATTATTTTTATTGTGAATCTAGCCTTGTATCATTATGAACTGTCTCTTAAAGAATACGTAAGTAATTATGAACAGAATGTTGGTAGAAATATGGAGGTGAAGGCCTTTGTGATGCGGTCTCAGATGTAAAGGCGGAATGTTATTGGATGCTGGAGGAAAGGCCATCCTTGTCATACAGTGGCAAGTAACTTGGCTGAATTGTGTTTGTGTCCTAATGTTTTGTGGAAGGTAGAACTTGCAAGGGATGAGACTGGATATTTTGCTGAGGAGATTTCTAAACATGTTGAAGAAGTGACTTGGTTCCTCCCAGTTACTTGTAGTAAAATGCCAAAAGAGAGAAATGAATTGAGAAAGGAATTGTTAAGCAAAAAGGAACCAGGGTTTAAAGATTTGGAAAATTCTCAGTCTGTTCATATTACTGAAAGTGAGAAAGTGTGTACCGAAAGGAACCACTAAGGGTGTGGTGGACCAACCATTTCATCAGGAGATTAGTGTGGCTGTGAACAACGAACGAGGCCAGGAATAGAGATGGGATTACACCTGCAGAGACACTGCTAGCTGGGACAAAAAAAAAAAAACAGAACATGGGATGGAATGAAGGAAGATTGTGAATATGTGCTATCCTCTAGGAAAAGGGATGAAGCACCCCAAAGCAATTTGGAGGTCCTCTGCCAATTAATCGTACCAAGGAGGATTATTCCCAAGCCTTAAGATTTCATGGAGTTTGCCTTAAAGTTTGGACTCACTTGGGACCAGGTCACCCCTTCCTTCTGTGTCTTGCTTTTGGAATGGGAATGCCTATCCTATACCTATCTCATGACTGTATTTTGGAAGCATACGACTTGTGTGGTTTCACAGATTCGCAGCTGGAAAGGAATTTTGCCCTAGGATCGTACCTCGAGTCTCACTGTACCTCATTTAGATGATATTTAGAAAAGACTTTGGACTTTAGACATTAGAGTTGTTGCCAGAATGAGTTAAGACTTTGGGGGATGGAATGAATGTACACATGCTCCTTGACTTAGGTTGGTGTTCTGTCCCAATTAACCCATTGTAAGTAAAAATGTCATAAGTCAAAAATGCATTAAGTAGCCTGATGAACCCATGGTAAAGTAAAAAAATCAGAATATGCTCTTCAGCTTACCATGGGGTTATTTCCTGATAGACCCGTCACAAAACTTAAAAATTGTAAGTTGAACCATCATATGTTGAGGACCAGGAGTATTTGGCACATGAGAAGCACATGAATTTTGAGGGGCTGGGGTAGAATGCTATGGACTGAATGTGTGCATCTCCCTAAAATTCACAGGTTATGACCCTAATTCCTAATGTGATGAGGAAATAAATGTCCGTTGTTTAGGCAACCCGGTCTATGGCATTCTTGTTGTATCATCTTGCGGCGATGAAGACAGGCATTTATAAAATACAGTTGCTCCATTACTAAAAGGAACACATTTTATGCAGCAGTAAGGATGGGTATGAAAAAATATTGTGCTGAGTGAAAAATGCCAGGCCCTCTCCCAAAATATCCTCTATATAATTCCATTTATATGACATTCCATAATTGGCAGGACAAATCTAATGTAATGGGTATGATTGAGATCAGATCAGTGGTGGCTTTAGGGGTATGGGATGGGATTAATTGGGAAGGGGTACAAAAAAACTTTGTAGGGGATAGAATTGCTCTGTATCTTTCTCAAGGTATTCATTTGTCAAACCCTATGGAATTCTACAATTAAGACCTGTGTACTTCAATGTATGTAAATGATACCTCAGTAAACAGAATATGTGATATATATGTGTGCGCATGTATACACGTGTGTGTGTGTGTGTGTGTGTGTGTGTGTGTGTGTCTTTGCCCCGCCTCCTTTCCATTCCTCTCCTGAGAAGATAGAAGACTTAGGAAGTCAAGAATGCAGTCCCAGAGAAAAGAAGGCAGTGCGGAGGATGGGCCACAAAAGAAGTCCTGGAATGACCAAGAAGGAGAGTGGCAGGCTCCAGCAGGGACCTCTGCAAGAAAATAGTGGACCAGATGGATGACTTCAGGAGGAAACCCTAACACATTCCTTGTGAAAAGTTGTACCGGGAGGTTATTAAAAGGTGTGAGAAAGAAAACTAAAGGAAAAGAAAAGACATCATTAACACGGGGAGAGGAGGAGTAAGGACAGGGGCATGGTCACAGTACGCTACAGTGCTCGGCTGGAAGTAAAATGTATGTAGGCAGGATAATGTAAACACTATGTGTTATTTAATCCTACAATTTGTAATATAATTATATTGAAGGACTGCTGAGGGAGGGCTGAGGGATGGCTCCTTGACCATCATGTGAAGTTAGTGGTTAAAACAGATGAATCAGAAGAGGTCAGGGTGCACACATTACTTAGAATCCTGAACATGTGATTGCCAGAAAAAAAATTGCTGAAAAATTATGTGGACTTTGAATTCCATCTCCAAGGCCACATTAGTCTTTTCCAATAACAAATTTGAACCGTCTAAGGAGATTTCTAGGGCAGTTTGAAAAAGACCCAAAGCTGTTTACTAACGTAGTTTATTAATTAAAGTGGCCCTGGAGTCTCACACCACAGATACAATTTGTCATGACAGGCCACCCTCCATGTCCAAGGGTTCCACATACACAGCTTCAACAAACCTCAGGTCAAAAGTATTTAAAAAATAAAAAAAATAATAATAGTGCAACAATATGACACCTTCCAGCTACCTGACTGCCTTTTCACCTCTCCCCTGGTAACTCCAGTGTCTCCTTGGCTCGAAATGGACCCCAACAGCTCCTGCGCCACTGGTGGCTCCTGCAAGTGCGGGGAGTGCAAATGCACCTCCTGCAAGAAGAGCTGCTGCTCCTGCTGCCCCGTGGGCTGTGCCAGTTGTGCCCAGGGCTGCATCTGCAAAGGGGCATTGGAGAAGTGCAGCAGCTGTGCCTGATGTGGGGACAGCCCTGCTACCAGATGTAAATAAAGCAACTTGTAGAAACCTGGATTTTTTTTTTCATACAACCCTGACCCATTTGCTGCACTCCTTTTTCTATTAAATATGTAAATGACACTAAAACATCTTTTACTTGAAAAAAATAATGCAACAGTATGAAGTAATACAAATAAAAAATACAGTGTTCGCAACTACATTTGTGGCATTTACATTGTTTTAGGTATTATATGTCATCTAGAGATGATTTAAAGCAGATGGGACAGTGCGTGTGGGCTGTGTGTACATGCCGTGCCACTTGATGGAAGAGACCTGAGCATCTGCTGCTTTTTAGCAACCACAGACAGTCCTGAGAACAACCCCCTGAAGATACTTAAGGCTGGCAGTACTCATTTATTTGTTTACTTGTTTGCAGGAGTTCAGGCTAAAGCCAGGTAAGCAAAAATTATTGAAGGTAACTGAAGCAAGCAAGAGGGAGGAGCCCTTACCTCCCTGCTGCGGTGGGGCAGGAGTCCCGCTCCTGAAGCTCTGGCAAGACTAGACCTCTTTCACACATCGCCCACTGCAGCCTCATGACCAGCCAGGCTGTTCAGCAGTGTTTCCTCAGTTCTTGGAGCTTCTGTTCCAAAAGCCGCTATCAATTTAGTAACAGTTTTGCCGCTGACAAGCCTACTTTGACCTGAATTGCAAAATGCATCTCAACTTCAGAAATATTAATATGTGGAAAACCATTTATCTCTCCACCAAAGATTCCGTGAAAGGACCCTGGTTTGGGTCCTGTTCCGCACCTCCCATCGTGGCCTGCTGGTACAGCTGAGCAGTGAGTGGATGGTGCATTCCCAGAGCCTCCCACAGCTCCTGCCTTCATGCTCTTGGCTATACCAAGAGTTGGCTGCCGGCAGCTCTCAACTGAATTCCTCTCTATGATTTGCCTTCAGCTCAAAAGAGCCTCTTTCCCGAGTTCATGCCCCTTCCCCAGGACAGCTGCGTCCTGCGGACGATGGCGCAGGGTAGAAAAGCCCCACCCTCTGAGGGCTCTTTGGGCCTCAGAGCTGCCCTGGGTGGGGTTGGCGGAGGCCTCTTGGAGACTGTCTTGCAGTTCAATTCCTCTCTGCCTTTCCTGCCTCTTTCTCTTCCTTCACAGACCTTGATCCTGAGAGTACCTCAGTAAACTTCAGGAGGCAAATCTCAGAGTCAGCTTCCTAAGGTTGCAACTGGGACACAGTCTCATTTCAGACTTTGGCCAGTCCCTTCATGCAGTAGGTATTTCTGGGCTTTATGACTGAGAGCCCGTCCAGTCTCTGTGCAGAAATGAGCCCATTGCACCTGGAGTCCTCCCTGTGTTCCTAAGGCCTGGAGCTGGTATTTTCTGGGCCAAGCCCCTCGTGAGGCTCCTGACAGATGAGGTGACCATCCTGCTCTGCTACCTACGTGACATGTGGCTTCTACAGATTGCCCACTGTCCCTCCTCCTCCAGGTGCTCATCTGTCAAACGGGAGCATTCAGCAGGCAGGCTGCAGTGAAGCATTGAGCACAGGCTGGCACCTGGCAGGGACTCATTCTTTTCTCCTGCATCCCATTCCCAGTTGTCCAGGGTCCCAGTCGTCCGCCACACCTGCTCCTATCTGAGCATCCTACTGCAAGTCAAGGTAAATGGGCTCAGCCACTGTTCCACGCCACCCCAGCTCGGAGTGGACTCCCCTTGAGCCTGCAGAGGGGCCGGACGCTGAGTGGCAGGCCACGCGGGTGCGCCCGGGCTCTCACCCCAGCCCCTGGGAAGAAGCCGTTTCATTCAGTGAACCAAGGGGTGATGAAGGGGAGAACGCAAGTGGCCTCCTGTTCCCTTGGGAACTTGAGGGGGTGTCGGGATGTGTTCCCTTTCTGCACTCAGCTGGGAACAAGCTGGTGGAGAATTTTCCCCTCTGAGCAGAGAGAGAATTCTCTTCCCCTCCCCCGCCCCGCCCCCATCCACTCCCACAGCCACCAGTTCTCTGGGCAACCCTAGTTAGCAGTTCGGGCCTTTCTTTCTGCACACAATTGACATGGAGGGCCTGAGTCTGATCTATTCAGACGCCACATGGAACACTCCGTGTTTGTCACTGCACTCTCATCTTCTAGAAGCACAATCTTATCCAACAGAAACAGGCACAAGTGATCAGGCCTGGCCTGTCTAGTGACAGTGTTTCACTTCGTTCCATGGGACAGCGTCTTCTGTAACTTTAAGATTTAACATTTCAGATTATTTTCCACCGGGGATCCCATCGACGCTGCGTTCTGGCTACTTTCTTCCCCTAATGCTGAAAGGTTCGATTCTTCCTTCTATCCATCAACAAATCGCATTGAATGACGGTGCTCAGTGACCCAGGATGCCACTGGAGACAAAACACACTATACATATTTTCTGGTCTCCCTGGAAAATTAGTGCAAACACTTTCATCACTGCGGAGAAGGGAAATATGCACGGAGCTGTGAAGATCTGCTTTGTTTTTTGTTTTTCTAAAAGGAGATTTTCCCCTCCTTCAAACAGTGAAATTTATATTGTTCTTTGTCTGCAAATTAACCAGTTAAGTAGAATTCCTCTATGTCTCTTTCACTTTCTGCAAGCCAAGCCCCTCTTTCTCTCCACCCCGTATTCATACATAGTCCAGGATTACCCCCGACCCCTCCAGTGCTGCCTGATATTTTGTTCCGTTTTCATCCTGACTTGTTCAAAGTAGCATTTAAAATATTTTAATTCATATTCTTATCTCATTTGTCCTTTTTAAGCTCCATTTTAAAGAATCTTCTTTTCTTATGAATGGTCTGTTTTTGATTCACTGGAAAACTTGGGCTGCTCGCTGCTTTCTCTCTCCTGTTAAATTTTCACTTTTATGAAGAGATCAGATCTTGCCCTCTGGAAATGGAGCAGGAGAAGACACAGGAGCGCTGACCCTCCCTGCAGCCCTGGCCCTCCCTGCAGCCCCTCGGGGTGCTCCCTGTGCAGCTTCTCCTCCTGTTCAGTGGAGAGGACAATTAATCTCCTACTACACAGAAGTGGTGCCTGAATGCACCAAGATAAAAATGTTTGTGTACAGGGTGGTCTATTTAAAACAGTTCCCGTATGATGCAATGCAGCTTGACAAGGAAACTCTTTCAGATGTCTCACTATTTCACAATAATAATTAGCATTTGGGAATCTTGCATAGAACACCCAGCAGAAGAATATTTTATGGATGTCTTAAGAGTTTCCACATACTGGCTGGGGTTTCAAACAAGACAACCTATTAAAGACTGACGTCCAATTTCATTTGTATGAGTTTGCAGTAAGGGAGATCAAGTTTAACAGTGCAAAAGAGAAGGACTTAGGAAATGTAGACTTCAAATTCAGATAAGCCATCAGTGAGACCCAGTTTTTCAAAAAACCAATAAAATGTTGGGATGCATTAATGAAGGCATAATATCTAAACAAAGGAGGTGATAATCCCATTGTATTCTTTGATGGTCTATATTTGGAATATTTTTAAAGTTACAGGCAACGAATTTTAAAATAACCAGAAAGCATTCAAGGAGGACAATCTAAATAATAAAGGCTCTGAAAACTAGATTCTCTAAAAGAACAGGATTCGGGGTTAGAATTGGGTTAGAGTCCCAGTAGTCCCTTACCAGCTGCGAGCTTAGGCAATTTATTTAATTTTGCCTCAATATCCTCATCTACAAAAAGATGATAATGAATTTTTTTTTTTTTTTTTTGAGACGGAGTTTCGCTCTTGTTACCCAGGCTGGAGTGCAAGCAATGGTGCGATCTCGGCTCACCGCAACTCCGCCTCCTGGGTTCAGGCAATTCTACTGCCTCAGCCTCCTGAGTAGCTGGGATTACAGGCACACACCACCATGCCCAGCTAATTTTTTGTATTTTTAGTAGAGACGGGGTTTCACCACGTTGACCAGGATGGTCTCGATATCCCGACCTCGTGATCCACCCGTCTCGGCCTCCCAAAGTGTTGGGATTACAGGCTTGAGCCACCGCGCCCGGCCTGATAATGATTTTTTTCAAAAACCCATGTCATGGGGTTATTCTGAGGATTAAATAATTTATGCATAGCTAGTGACAGAGTGCCTGGCACATAGCATGTGCTCAGTAAGTATTAGATATTACTATTCGTGTTGACAACAAAAACAGTGTTTATGATACCACCGATGGTTGTGTAGCATTTTTGTTTATAAAGTGACTTTATATCATTGTTTTCTCATGTTCATGTTTAATACGATTGGGTCATTACTATCCTCATTTTTGGAGGAAGAAAACTTTGGGGTCATCTGCCCTGAGAGGGTCTTTCCTTCCTGCACAGCTGGCTGGGCACCAGCCTCCTATGCCATCTCCAGCAGTCCTCACAGCCTTGGGTGCCTGTGGCATCCAGCCTCTGACCCTCCTCCTGGGAGGCCAGCCCTGGAGGGAGGACCCCTGACTGTGGATTTGGCCGTCTTTGTGATTACAAAGCCTCTAGTCAGCCTCACCATTCAAATCTCATCAGTCCATTTACTCAAAGACAAAACCAAAGTGTGCGTGTGCATGTGTGTGTGTGCGCGCGTGCACACACATACACATCCATGTTCAAAAGCAAATATGCTACAAGGTTAACACTGATGCTCTCTGTGTAATGGATTATAGGCATTTTAAATCTTTCTTTCTCAAGTGTATTTTCTAATTTAATTTGTTTTTCACTGTGAATTTGTATTGCCCAGGAATAAAGAACTAAGCAATGCTTCACAACAGCATGTGGCTGTTGTGAGTGGTTCATAGAAATTAACTTTAGAAATGCCCACAGTTCCAAACGATGATGAGTGGGCAGAACCTGCTAGCATCCATCTCATATCCATTTTGTTGTTCCCCCTAACTGCACTGATTTTGACAGAGCAGCACCAGGCCCAAAAGTTACACACCTTCCTTTGTATCCAGGGCGGTCACATAGCCCAGTCCTAATGGGCAAGATGAGAGCAGAAGTCGCTGTGTGAGACTTTCACTTTAGTCTTGTTCTTACTATTTT